GGACAGGCTGGTCTCAAACTCTGGACCTCAAGTGGTCTGCCTGCCTTGGCCTCCCAAAGTGCTGGGATTACAGGCATGAGCCACCGCGCCTGGCCTACTCATACACTTTAAATGGCATCTGCCTTGCTAAAACTGGGGAGGAACATCAACAAATGTGATAAGATGACTGGTTGAAAATTGAAAAGCCCCAGTTCCAGCAAAGTTGTGAGAGGTTGTGATTTCCTCCCTCTTTCTTTTTGAATTCTTCCTTCACTCAGTGAATTCTCCTGCCCTGTGTTAGGAGACAGAAGCTCTCCTGCTGCTCCCTCATTTTCCAGAGTATGAGGGGCCCTGTTCACGTAGGCAGCCCCTCCCAACTTCACATACCCCACACCTGGATCTAAGCTCACCCATTGGGACTTCCCACCCTTGCTGTCCACATTCCAACATGATGAGAATTTCCAAGTTCCAGACATAGCACCAAGGGCATCCCACTTAATCTCCAAGACCATCCCTTGCAGCAGGTGTTAGCATCCCTACTGTGTATGTACAGAAGCTAAGGTGAGAAAGGCCAATGACCTGGCCAAGGAATGCACACACGGGAGAGGCCAATCCTCTCTTTTCTTCTTTTCTTAAGAGATGTTTCCTAGAAATAACTACTGCTTGGGTTTGCGTGTCTGTTTCCAGAATCCTTTGTTGCTTAGACCTAGCCTGTGACCAGTCCGTGTCCATTCTTCCTTTGGACTGTCTGGTCCCATAGACAGCTAACCTCACTTCTGCATTGTTTCCTCCACCCTCGTTGCCACTATCTTAGTCCATTTTGTGCTGCTATAGCAAACCATCCCAGACTGGCTAATTCATAAAGAACACAAATGTATGTACTCACAGTTCTGGAGGACGGGATAAATCCAAGATCAAGGTGTTGGCGTCTGGTGAGGACCATTTTGCTGTGTCCTCACATAGTAGATGGTGGAAGGGTAAGAGGGGATGAATGTTGTGTCCTCACATGGCAGAAGAGTGAGAGACTGCGCCCACTCCTGCAAGCTCTTTTTATAGCAGCATTGATCCAGCCATGAGGGTGGAGCCCTTACAACCTCCAATAGGCCCCACCTCCTGACATGGTTGGATTGGGGATTAAGTTTCCAACATATAAACTTTGGGGAACACATTCAGACCATATCAGCCACTCACTCCAGGCCGTTCCTCAAGCTCCTCTCAGGCCCATCATTCTCAAACACGTCACCGTGCTGGCTCTCAGGCTGGGGGTCAGCAGGATCAGGGACATCTACTGAGAGCCAGTGATGGATAGACGGGGAGCTGAGACGCTGGAGGGAGGAGATCTCCACGACTGTGGTTCTTGCTCTTTCTCCCCTCCTCTGCTCTCTCTCCCTGTCCTTTTCTCATCCCTCCCACTCTTCTTCATTTTCCTGAGATTATCACCTGGACCAGGAACAAAACAGCTCTGGCACCTGTTGCTCTGCTAGGCCAGCACCTCCACCCCATTCTTTAGCACACACATCCACACCTCCACTTGCCTGGGCCCCTTTCCCACATCATCTGGATTTCTCTACCTGGCTGTGTCATTTAGGGTCCAATTAGGAAACAGAAACCACACAGTAATTTGAAGGTGGGATGTTTAATATAAAGATTACTTGTAATAGGCAAGTAATGAGAAGATGTAAAGAAGACTCTGAAGGTGACCCTGAGGCTGATGGAGAGCACCTGGGGAAGGATGAGCTTAAAGAAGACCCCTCTTCAAGGCTGGGGTTCTGACTGCATCAGAGAAGGTGTGGTTGTAGCCCACTGGGTGACAGAAAGGTTCTCTGGATTGCCCGTGGTTGCTGGGCAAGGAGAAAACAATGGTGTTGGGTATGGGCAAGGATAGAACAACGGTTTTGAGTAGAGGCTAAGGCCCTCTGTCCCTTTCCCTCTGTTTTTCTATATGCCCGGAATCATGCCTTACTCTCCACAGACCTCCATTCTGCCAGCTGGTGGGAGAGTGTGTGGAGGGCTGTGGGGTGTCAAGGGGGTACTCTCCAGCAGGGTAGTGAATACTGGGCCATGCCAGGTCTGCATTAGGAACATTGCAGTGAGGTGGTCACCATGGGTGGCCAAGAGGCAGGGCTGGATCATGAACCTGAAGACTGCACACTCTGGGCACACGGCGGGGCCCATGATAAGAGTCATGCCGCTAGAGGCAGGAGAAGACAGCAGCAAGCTAGACCCAGGAGGAGATGCCCCTTCCTCCTGCATAGACCCAGAGCACTCTACTGACAAAGCTGAATGTTGTGTTTGGTGCAAAGGAGAAACACCTGAACTCCCTTGTCACAGAGCAGGTACAGAGGGATGGATTTGGGACTGAGAGGCAATGGCTTGCTAGCTGGACACCGGCCTTTCCCTGGTCCCCCAGTTTGGCTCACCCCGCCTCCTGGATTCTGTTTCCCAGCACACGCTTTCTGGACTCTCAGTCTGGCTGTTTTGGCGGCTCCCTCCTGTCTCTGCGCATTCTATTAGGGAATTCTATTCATTTCCATTAGGGAAAGCATTCTTCCTTCTCTCTTCTTGATCAAACACTACCCATTCTGCAGGCCCAGGGGAAGGCCCAGGCAGGTATCTGTGAACCACCTCCTATTCAGTCTTCTGTTGTGGTTCAGCCAGCTCTGTGACAGTGAATTCTTGTCACTTCACGAGTATCTCCTTAATTAGATTGCAGCTTCCTTGAGAACAAGGACTGTGTCCCTTTCCCTCTGCTTTCCTATATGCCTGGAATAACGCCTTATTCTCCATAGACCTCCAGTTGATATTATGATATGATTGATTGGTGGTGTGTGAATTTCAGGGTTAGGGGAGCTCGCTGGGGATATAGAGATATCTGGGAAAAAATTCAGTGGCTACGCCTTTCTCCACGTATGCCCTAGACCCAGTTTGGGTGCTCGCTGGGGACTGAGAGCCTTCCTGACACTGAGGACTGTCTGTTTCCCTTCTGGCGCTATGAAACAGTGTGATTGCAACAGCACCAATTAATAGTGTGTAGTTCCCTCCTGTAACCTGTGTACCGGTGAAGGAAATGTGAAAATGTTGGGAGCAAATGAAAATGATTTTGACTGCTCTAACCTGAGTCTGGTAGGGGGAAAATATCTTCTCCCTTCATCACTTTTAAAAAGCAGAGTTCCTTTCATAATAGAGGCTTATTTCGGGCCATGAAATACTAGCGATCATAAGGAAGTAGAGAAAGAAAATGACCCGAGTGCTTTATAAGGAACAGTTTATTGGATCAATGCCTCTTTGTCTTATTAATCTATGTTTTCCCAAATGGCCTGTAAGTGATTCTTGAATCACTGTGATCTCAGTCTCAACAGCCAGAAGTAGGATATATTAAAAGCTTTGGCCTGGGCAATGAGTCACTTGTTTATCAAACAAGGCTCCTCTACTCTTTCTGCTGGCATTTCTGGACTGTCTCTTATAAGTTATCAATTTCCTTTTTTTATCTGAGTGAGATCTTCCCTGACTACCTCCTACCATTAGACTGAGCTGATGTTCTGCTTTTGTATTTCCAGAGCATTAAAGGGTAGTGGGGAGAGTATGTATCTTGTATTGTAATTGCTAGTTAACTCTTTGTCATTCTGGATTGATTCTTTTTAACTATGTATCCTCAGGATTTAAACCAGTGCCTTACACATAGTGAAGGCTCAATAAATATTGTTTGAATAAATGGATGGTTGGATGATGAAATAGTCGTCGCTCTTTTGGTGGCAAACATCAATAACCCAACTGCTAGTGACAATGTGGAATGGATACTTCTTTGTTATGTGGTCCTGTCCCATACATTGCAGGATATTTAGCATCCCTGGCTTGAGGTATCAAATGCCAGCAGTGCCCTCATACATTGTAACCACTAAATACATCCCTCACATTTCCAAATGCCCCTTAGTGGGCAGTATAGCCTCTAATTGAGAGCCACACTCTAGGCTGACTTTATACCCACAGACATGATCCCAGAGAAGATGGCCTGACTCTCTGTCACCTAGTATCCATGTCAGTTCCTGAAAAGGATTCTGATGAGGTCTGCTTAGCTTATGTTTCCACCCCAGGCCAATCACAGTCTTTAGTGAGTTTAGGGCTTCGGCAGAGTCTGATTGTTCAATGTATATTTATTGCTGCTGAGCAAATTACTCCAAAACTTAGAAACTTAAATTTGTATTACCACCGGGTATGGTGGCTCACACCTGTAATCCCAGCACTTTGGGAGTCTGAGGCAGGTGAATCATGAGGTCAGGAGTTCAAGACCAGCCTGGCCAAGATGGTAAAACCCTGTCTCTACTAAAAATACAAAAATTAGCTGGGTATGTTAGCATGCGCCTGTAATTCTAGCTTCTAGGGAGGCTGAGGCAGGAGAATCGCTTGAACCCAGGAGGCAAAGGTTGCAGTGAGCCAAGATTGCTCCACTGCACTCCAGCCTGTGCAACAGAGTGAGACTCCATTTCTCTCTCTCTCTCTCTCTCTCTGTCTATATATATATATATATACACACACATATATATTACCTAAACCAATTTCTCTGGTCAGGAATCTGTGAGCAGCTTAGTTGGGTGGCTCTGGCTCAGGGCCTCTCACAAAGCTGCAGTCAAGCTGTTGGCCAGGTCTTCTTCTCAAGGCTCCATGGGGGCTGGAGGATCTCGTCCACACTCACCCATATGGCTGCTTTCAGGCCTCACTTCCTCACTGGCTGTTGGGCACCTTGCCATGTGGCCTCTTCATAGGCTGCCTGAGTGTCCTTTTCAAATGGCAAGTGGCTTTTTCCAGAATGGCATATCCAAGAGAGAAAGAGAAAAGAAAAGAAGAGACAAGGAGAACCCACTGTAGAGGCTTCAGTCTTGTAAAACCTAACCTCGGAAGTGACACATACCATCCTTTCTGCCATGATTGGTCACTTTAGACCAGCTGTGGTCCACTGCAGGCCAGGGCTCCATGAGGGTGTGAACGCGAGGAGGTGGGACTGCTGTGGGGCGCCCTCAGAAGCTGCCTCCCTTAGACAACAAGGACACAGTCCGTCCTCACTGCTGGACGTAGGTGGTAAAGTCCCAGGAGCAACAGCTCCAGGAAATCACAGAGGGTGGGGAGGGGCATTTCCCAAAAAGGTCATGTAGTGCAAACCAAAAGTATACATCTGCCACAAATAAATACTGCAATCTACTTCCTCATCAACTGACTCAAGGAGGGCTGCATAGGGTAAGTTCTAATAAAAATAGTGCTGTGAATTATTTCTGTCTATCTGTAGATCATCATTTGTCTCTTAAGGATCTTTTTCTACTGCCAACTGACATTCTTATTCAGCGCTTATTGTGCAAAAAGCTTTCACAAGCAATTCGACTGTGGGCTTATAGATAGGTTTTGGAAATCTTGGGAGTAGATCAATATTTGAGTGTTTGTTTCATATAAATTTATTCTGACAGCTGCTTACTTCCTTTCCAAAATTCTCTTTTCTTTGGTGCTCTTTTAATTTTTTGAATTTATAGTGGGGAGAGAGCATCGCTGTGTCCTAGTATGTTTCCACCGGAAAGAAGCAGAGGCAGTGTGCAGGACGGCAGGAGCAGCTGAGCTCTCCACCGGACGAGACAGGGCTGCTCAGAAGGAGGCGTCTTGCTTGGTTTTGTGCATTTGGAGAGCTTTTCTACAGTTGGTTTTCCCAGAGTCTGTGTTTTCTCATTTGGGATGAATGGCATGCAGAGGCAAGGTGACTTTTTATGGCTTTGGTCTTTCATGGAAGTATAGCCGGCCACTGAGCCATCCGGACACTCCACTGCCCTCAGGAAGGAGAAACCACTGTTTGTCTTTCCACCGGCCCTGCCGTGCGAAGCCTGCCAGGCACCGTATAACCAATGCCCAAGACAGGCGATGAAAGGTTTGGCTTCACGGGAGCCTTCCCTCAGAGCTCTTGGAAAGTCACACAGGAGACGGATTACAAAGAAGTCTTGCTAGGGTTTAATCACACAAATGAGGGAACCCTGTTTCATGCCTCCTTCGACCAATGAAAACAAAATACTGAGTGTGAGACCTTGTGTTATCCAGTCATGAAGCCTGATTTCTTACATAAATCCTTTGTGTAAAATTGGGCACCCCATTGCCAGTGAATATTTTGTGCAATGTGGGAGAAGGTCTCTCCCTCTTGGGGCAGCTCAGTAGGTCACTAAGGTGACACCAAGCTTTGCCAGTCTCTGGGTAGAGGTTCCCAGGAATGAAGTATGTGGTGCAGTGTGGCAAAGACATGCAGTTCTATGCATTGGACGTTGCAACTGGTTTTCAAAAATGATTAGACATTTGAAAATGCCATCCACTTATATTTACTCTGTTTCTGACATTTCCCACCCCTTTGGCCTTCCAGGTAGCTGAATATAGGAGAATAGAGAAGGTGAAGAAAACCATCATTATTGGTAAATAGGCTCACTTTTCCTCCTGCCTGTTCCAATACAGACCAAAAAAGAAGGGAAAGGAAGAGGCCATGAAGATTAATTTGGTTGTTTTAGCTGCTATTCATGAGGCCTGATGTTTTCATTTTCTCTGTAATATTCCAGAATATTGGGGCAAAGCTTATCCATGACTGATGGATCCATAGAATGGGGGATCATTCCTGGAAGTTCTGGGAAAGGTGGGGTTAGGGTTAGGATGTCTCTGGAAGGGTAGGTAGGATATGGTGTGTATCCCTGCTTTTCCCTCGTACTTAGGCTCTGGCTTTTGATAGAGGCTCTGGAGTGAGGCAGGGCTTGAAAAAAGTCTCAAGCCTTGGTTTCAGACAGGCCTAACTTCAAATTCTACTAGCTGTGTGAGCTTGGACAGGTTACTTAACCTCTCTGGACTTCTGTTTTCTTATCTGAACAATGGAGGTAATCACTGATATGGTTTGACTCACCCAAATCTCATCTTGAATTGGAATCCCCATGTTTGGAGGGAGGGACCTGGTGGGAGGTGACTGGGTCACAGAGAGGAGAGAGGGCAGCTTCCCCCTGCTGTTCTCATGATAATAAGGGAGTTCTCACAAGGTCTAATGGTTTAAAAGTGCCAGTTTCCCTTATGCTGTCTCTCTCCTGCCGCCATGTAAGTCGTGCCTTGCTTCCCCTTCACCTTCTGTATGATTTTAAGTTTCCTGAGGCCTCCTCAGCCATGTGGAACTATAAGTCAATTAAACCTCTTTTGTTTATAAATCACTTAGTCTCAGGTAGGATCTGTATAGCAATGTGAGAATGAACTAATAAACTCATAGTACCTCCTTAACCCATAGGGCTGGAGTGAGGATTGGATCAGGTAATGCAGTGATTGGCGGGCCTTGGGGAGGGTCTGGTTCTCTTGTTCTAGAGCCCAGGGTGGGCCATCCTCACAGTGTGGCCCCAGGAGTTCCTGGGTCCAGAGTGGCAGAGCTGGTGTGTCCTTACTGCTCACAAGGTAGGCATCCTTCCTTGGCTCTTTTTTATTTTTTTTGAGATGGAGTCTCACTCCGTGGAGTACAGTGGCATGGTCCTGGCTCACTGCAACCTCCACCTCCCATGTTCAAAAGATTCTCCTGCCTCATCCTCCCAAGTAGCTAGGATTGCAGGTGCCTGCCACCATGCCCAGCTAATTTTTGTGTTTTTAGTAGAGACAGGCTTTCTGACCTCAGGTGATCCTCACTCCTGACCTCAGGTGATCCACCCACCTCGGCCTCCCAAAGTGCTGGGATTACAGTCATAAGCCACTGTGCCCAGCTCCTCTTTGGCTCTTAAGGGTCCAAATCCAGTGTTGTGGTTGCTGTTGTTTTTTAATCTGTCTGCATTATTTTCCTTTCGATGGAGGGAGGCTGTGATATCCCAAATGCTTTATCTTGGGCTGTAGGATCAGCCCTTGAAATTACCTGCCACCTACAGTGTTACTGGAAGAAGCAGCACTCTGCCACACATTCTTTTTTTGAGATTTTGCCTCAGTAAATCCTTCCGAGGCTCAGGCAGACAATTCATCCTATCATTTGACCAGGGTTTTTTTGTTAATAGAAGAAAGGTAGTAATTGTGGAATGCAGCCTGCAGGGAGTAAACAAAATACTTCCCTGACTAATAAGCCTTTCATTCATTTTCTCAATCTCCTGCTGGGTTTGTCTTTTTCTTTTTTAAAATGGAAAAATAATTTTGTTGTTTTTTTTTTTCCCTCATTGAAAGAACTTAATGGAATAAATATTCTAGGATATTTAGTCCTCTGCCTCCTTTCTCCTCCCTGAAGCTCTGTTTCAATCACATCAAACTGGCTGCAGCTGGGGCTTCAAAACCCAGCTGGGAATAAAACAGGATGGAGTGAGGCACCACCCTGCCATTTTGCTACCTGGGACTGCTCATGGTGGGGCAGGCTTTGTCCTAGACCCCAGAATAGCGGCGCTGAGTGTTCTATGTCCAGAGCTTTATGCAAATGCCTACATGCTTCTGCCTGCTTTCCACCCTGGTCCATAAAACTGGAGCACCAGTGCCTGAAGGCCACACTAATAAGGAGTGGGGACCCAGAAAACAAGCTCTGCCCAGCCCCTGCCTAGTTTGGTCTGCAGAGGAGGTACAGGCATTAGATGGGAGGCCACGGGGACCACATAACTAACAGCTGTGATGAGTGAGGCTTGGGGAAAGTAGGGGAGCTCTGGGTGATGGGATCGGGATCTGCTCTGCCCTGGATGCTCAAGGTCAAGGCAAATCACTTGAAAAAGGCATGGTTTGGAGCTCTGTATTCACAATCGTATTTGAGACTGAACTAAGGGAAGAAGAACAGTGAAGGGTGGGGAAGGGAAGGAGTTAGAAGAACGAAGTAGGCCGCAGCCCTATTTGTGAGCTGTCTGCCTCTCCGTGAGCGCTTTTATTACGGGAGCCCGGGCTCCTTCTTTCCCTGAGCTTCTGCAGACACTGACAGGAACGAGGAAGAGGCTGGAAGCACAGGGCTGTAGGACAGACCGATCCTCAGCCTCCGGAAGAGGGGCCTTTGAAAGCCCGGCTCTTGGGTCCCTGCTAAGGAAGCAACTTAGCCCGGCTGCCTGGGCACAGCCTTTCCACTCACATTGAGGACTAACTCAATGACATCCCACCCACCTTTGAGTTTGCTCGCATTTGCTGCCAGGACCAAGGCATAGCCATTGTCTTGGTCTTTCAGCTTTTGAACACTTTCCTCTACGTCCTCTATCAGGCAGTATCTAAACAACACCAAGAAGTGAAACTGAAGCAGTTAGATCCGTGGCCCCGTTTACGGTTTGGCAATGAGTGAGAGTGAAGGTGGCTTCCCTGGTCCCTCCCGGATGTTCAATTCACTCCTGCGTCAGTGAGCTCACCCCTTGTGACTGCCACATTAGCAACCTCACTCTAATAACTTTCCTGGCAAAGGCAGAAGTGACAGCCCAGCCTGAATCGTTACATCACTCCCCAACCCTTTCACAGCAGAGACTGCCTCCCACGGTTTACCATGGCATCTGAAAACACTCGTGGTGCTGAGCCTGGCATTGCCGCTGGCAAGGATCTGGCCCCTGCTGCCTTTCTGGCACCTGCTCCACCACACTTTCACTTAAACCATGTTCTAGGAAAACTGTACCCAATTTTTCCTGAACATTCTCGGCCTTTTCCCACTTCTCTGCTTTTTCTTAAAAAGTTCTGCTACAGTAATACCCTCCACATCTCTACCTGTTGAAATCCCATCGTCCTCCAGGACACAATGCAAACGTGATTTTCTTGATGAGGGCCTCCGTGATTTCTGTAGCCAAACGTGATTCTGGGCTTCCTTATGACTTTCTGAGCTTGTGTCCCCGTGTTCATTCCTGACCATGGTTCACACCCTGAGCCCTCATCTTTGATGTGGGTCATCAACTTTCTGGACCAACTTTTTAACAACAAATATGCATTGAAGGCTTACAGTGATCCCACTACATTGCAGATATTGGCAATGGAAAGAGGAATAAGAGACTGAACGTGTCTTTGAGGACATGAAAAATCCAGTGGACAGACAGGCAGGTAAACAGCTAATTACAATAAAATGTGCTAAGACACAGGAACAGGATTCTGGGAGTGCATGGAGATGAACAAGGGCCCAAAGCTACCAAACTTCCTGGTGTGTGTGAGGAATAGTTGCTAGTCTCTGGGTGGCTGGAGGAGGACTTGTGTAGGGGTGCACTGGGAAGTGAAGCTGGAAAACCCCAAACCCAGATAGTAAGGGAATTTGTGGGTCAAGCTTTTTTGCAGGCAATAAGAAAGCATCAGAAATCATGGAGCAGGGGAGCAATGGGTCAGAGCTGTGCTTCACAAAGGCTCCTTTGACCTGAGCAGGTTCTACTCCTGGCCCAATTGCAGCTGTTAGTTTTGGGCACCGAGCAACCACAGGGTGCCCGGCTCTTCCCTGGCAGCAGTGGAGTTCTGTCACATCAGCCATCAGTAGGGAGTTCCTGTCTCATTGCTTACACATGCATTCCAAAAGCCAAGTGCAGGAAGTGAGTGTGTGGATTAGGAGTGTGTCCAGGCAGAGATGCTGGCCCCAGCAGGACCTATAATCATAGTTGGGTCCACATATGGCCTGTTAAATCCTGCCTACTCCTCAGTAGGCATTGAGAAATGAGTGGACCGCATGGTGTGAGGTGGGAAGAACCAGGATATGGCTATCAAGTGTAGATGCTAGGACTGCCCTGCCTAGGGTGATTGAGGAGGTACTCAGGGCCATGTAGTAGCCTAGGTCCATGGAGTGGACCCACATTGGAAGGGCAAGGCGTGCTCAAGCGTGAGCTGTGTAAGCCTGCAGGTCTTGCCTTGTTGACTAGCACTCAGATATGGTTGACAGCAAAGAAAATGCCCAAGGGCAGCTGGAGCTTGCAGGAGCCCAGAAGTATATATGGGTCACTGGATCCTCATAGGGAAGGGGGTACAGCTGAATTCCACCCCGTGTGGTTGAGGACGCTGATTTATTTCCTGTTGCTGTCAAATCAGGCTCAGGTGCTAGAGGAGGGCAGCCGTGGCTGTGGGTGGCTGGAGAAGGCAGAGGCAGGAGAAATGAGGCAGGGCTGACAGTTGTCCTGGTATCGTGTAGACTTTCTTAAATTAGCTGTGCAGAGAGGAAGTAGGAAAGAAGAGCCAGAAAGTCAGCAGCCAGACTTTTCCATACCATCTGGGATGGGAAGCAGAAAGCTGCCAAGAAAAGCCATGTGCTGGAGCTAATTGGTAGGACTTGGAAGCAGAAGTAACATAGCACCCTACTAAATCAAGAGGCTTTTTTCTTTTCTTTTTGTTTCTCCCTTCTTTTCTGCTTTTTCTTTTCTCTTTCCTTTTCTTTCCCTTCTCTTTTTTCCCCTCTTGCCCTTCCTTTCCCTTCTCTTCCCTTCCCTTTCCTTCACTTCCCTTTTCCTTTCATTCTTTTCTTAAACATAGAAATCTGTAGAGCCTCAAAGAAATGGTACTGCTAAGAAATTACAGATCTAAACATTTGGGATAATAATGTAAACCAGCGAGCCAAGATTAAGCTGAGTCACATTTGATAGTTTAATGTAAGGAGATGCTAACTTTGAGTGCTGGAGTTTAATTTTTAAAAATCTTGCTACAAATTGGATTCCTAATTTGTTATGCTATTTTAAGGGATATTATCTTTAAGAGAAAATCATCGTAACTGGATCATTGCATGCCTTAAATTCTTAATTTAAAAAAAATTACTCATGATGAGGAATAGTTAACTGTGAGGTCTACGCCACTATATCGGGTACAACCAGCCACCTGGTGCAGGGAACACTCCATGTCTTAAAGGGATTAAGGAGTTTTTAGAGAGAAACATTCTTTTTAACCTTACTCAGATACCTCAAAGATCTCATAGAGAATTTGTACTTCTCAGGGGCGAAGTTTTTCTTTTTTGCTAATCTGTCCCCAAGCAGATGAAGGGACCGGGGCTTTAAGGAGTTGTAACTAAGCCGACAGCTAATGGTTTGCAAAGCCAGCATCTAACAAGGCTTTCTCCTCCCCTTCTTATTTCCTTCCCCCTCCCTCCATTCTTCTTTCTTTCCATCCATTTACTCTTTGCTTATGGCTCTAGTTCTTTTTAATTTTTTTTTTCCCTAAAGAATATCAATATAGGACGGACCTGCCCTTTCCAAACCTCCCTATTATGTTTCTGTTTCTCTAGAGACAGGGGACAGCATCATTAATCACAGAATAAAACTTCAATAAACCTTTTGGTTATGAAACATGTATATCCCAGACCATCTTCTGGAATAGAGTGGTTTAAGACAACAATATACACATTTTGTGTAATTGAAATGTCTTCATTGAGGGCAGAGTTGCAAGTCTCACATGACTTTTTTCCTGGAAACAGCTATATATTTTCCTCAGAAAATACCTGCCTGGACTCAAAGTTGCAGAGACACGGTTCGTTGGGATCCGAGTTGGCCTCTTCACTGTGACCATAGAGAATGGTGTGCAGTGGAGACCTTGAGGGAGGCTTGACCCCTGGACTCCAAGAGTAGCCAAATCTCCCGTTATCCCCAAGCTTTCATCAAAACTCCATTAACCATTACAGTCTATAATTAGAACAAGTAGTGCAGTGTTCAAGCTTGGGCAGAGAGCCAGATGGCTGATGAGGTGACCCTCACAGTGAGGACAGCATTCCTGGGGGAGTCCCAGGAGTGCAGGGCTTGCACCACTGTTTTCAGGGCATTATTGAGCGTGTGAGCCTTGAAGGGCAGAGGAGTCTGGGACACCCGAGTGTCAGGCAGATCCATGGAACCACTCTTCACTCTTCCAGGTGCTCACAGTCCCACCCTAGAGTCACTGGCTGAGATTCCTGGCAAAAGGAGACAGGATGTCAGCCTGCCTCCTGCCATCAGAAAGGGGGCCAGCAGCAGGCGTGAAGTCAGCTTCGCGGAGGTGGGTGGACCGGAGCTGTGACGTGAACAAAGCACATCCTTCCCGTTGTCCACTTCCTTGCACCCTGTTACTTACAGTTTGCTCTCCTACCAACACTCGATGTTACACTCTTTTGTTTATGCTTGGATTTCTCTCTCCCCAGCCAGGCTGAACCTCCATGAAGGCATCCTTCCTCTACCCGGGTTTCCATACATTCCTGCAGAAGAGCAGCCCAGTGCCCAAAGTCCTGCGGTTTTCTACAAGCCTGTTTGAGGTACAGCAGAACCATGGCTTAGAGACTTGGGATCAGAAAATCAGAGAATGCCCAGTTGCTCAGCCCAGAATCGGCTGCCCCACACCAAGTCTAATCCCCTGAAGATCCACCTGTCCCTCATTTTTCTAAAAGATGGACAGGTGAAGAATCTGAAGGGGGAGAAGACAATTCCCAAGAGTGCAAAAAAGTATCCCCCCAGCAGAAGCTGCCCCTTTAAAAAAGTCACACAAACTGCCCCTTTAAAAAAGTCACGCTGGATTTCAGTTCAGCAGTTCTGGAATGAGAAAAATTTGGATTTGAATCACTCCCTGGCTGTATGACCTTGGACAAGCTGTTTTACTTATGTGATTTTCAGAACAACTGGAGAAGGAGGTATTTTCATTTCCATTTAAAAAATAAGGAAACTGAGGCTGGGTGCATTGGCTCACACCTGTAATCCCAACATTTTGATAGGTAGAGGTGGGAGGATCGCTTCAGCCCAAGAGTTTGAGACCAGCCTGGGCAACATGGCATAACCTTTACAAAAAACAAAAACAAAAAATTGGCTGAGTGTGGTGGTGCATACCTGTGGTCCCAGCTACTTGGGGAGGCTGAGGTGGGAGAATCACCTGAGCCCAAGAGGTCACAGCTGCACAGTGACCCATGATTGCACCACTGTACTCCAGCCTAGATGACAGAGTGAGACCCTGTCCAAAAAAAAAAAAAAAAAAGGAAAATGAGACATGAGACTAACTGAGGCTTTGGGAGGAGTAAAATGTGTGGCGTGGCACATGTCCACTGCAGTATGTGGAACGTGCTCGGTGTACAGAAGGTACTTGCTGTTGTTAGGGTTTATTTCCTTGGATTAATGATGATATGAAGAAATCTCATGTTTCTATAGCTCTTCAAAATTTACAAAGGACTTTTAATTATCCTTAAGAGAGTAGTATCCATTTAAAGAGTTGGTCCTGGAGAAGCAGGCCTTGCCTTCCTTATAGTTAATTGATTTTTTTTTTTATTTCAAGAAAGATAAGTCCTTTCTGACTCCTTGCTCACACTGATGCTCTTGTTGTGCGCCACTGAAAAGAGGCATGGTCTTCGTACAAAGCCCTGGGAGAGCATAGCTCTCTCCTTTTGATCCCAATGTCCCCATGTGACCCAGACCAGAGATTCCAAGAGAGGCAATGGTATGGAGACCCCCACTGGGGCATGCCGTGTGGAGATAAGGAGGGGCTGGATGTGTACCCCTCAAATGGAAGAGCTTTCCCATGAACCCCAGTTCCTTATTCCCAGACCCTAAACAATTTATCATTTCATTTCTGTCTTTTGGTCTTCTGCAGTGGGTTGAATGGTGTCCTCCTCCCCAACAAAAAGCACATCCACTAGGAATCTGACTGTAATTTTATTTGGAAAAAGGGTCTTTTTGGATGTAATTAAGGATCTCAAGATGAGATCATCCTGGATTATTCAGGTTGACTCTGAATCCAATGACAAGTATTTGTATAAGAGACAGAGGAAGAGAAGATATGGGCACACAGAGGAGAGGGTCATGGGAAAATGAAGGCAGAGATTAGAGTGAGGCTGCCACAAGCCAAGGGATGCCTGGAGCCACCAGAATTAGAAGAGCAGTTTTCCCTGGAACCTTCAGAAAGAGAACGCGACCCTGCTGAAACTTTGATTTTTGGAGTTCTAGGTTCCAGAACTTCAAGAATAAATTTCTGTTGTTGTAACCACACAGTTTGTAGTAATTAGTTACAGCAGCCCTAGAAAACTAATATACCGTCTCTCTCTCTCTCTCTGTCTCACACACACACACACACACACACACACACATACACACACACACACACATACACACCGCACACACACTTCCACCTTTAAAAAAAAGGAAGAAGAAGAAAAAAAGTCAAGTGGGAGAAATATTGAAGTATTCATTTGCACAGAAAAGTAACGTCTCCCGCACTTGAGGGTGAGACTCCTAGAAGGAATTTTCCCCACCTTACTCTTTATCTGCTCCCTCTAAAAGGTTGCAAAAAGGCTTGTGGGTTTATTCAGTCATTTTAAGTGCTTCCTGCATTTGTATTCCCCTCAAACTCATCCATTTCTCTCAATCACAGAAGGGACTTGCCGAGCAGAGCCTGACATTTTCCAATTCTTGGGTCTGTGCCTGGAATCAACAGCCCTCACCAGTAAGGCAGAATGAATTCCCGGGATGTCAGTGCAGAAGCCCTTGGGTTGCCTGGCTGTGGCTGCCCTAACCTCCCCTGAAGCCAGTGCAGGGTGATGCCAGGCTCCATGTGAAAAGATGAGTGCTCACTGAGCAGGATCATGAATCCTGCCTAAGCAGCCCTGGGAGCTTCAGGAGAGTCGACACTAGAGTGGTCCCCTTCTCTCAGGATGGCTAACTTTAAGAAAGGTTAGACCAATTTAGGGTGCAGCTTTGTGTCTGTTTTCTGGCCAAAATTTTAGTTTATGCAAAGCCCACAAGAATTCTGAAAGCTTTCTTATCTGTGTATGGGTCCAGGGTTTCCATGATGGGGAATATGGCTCCAGTGTGGCTGACATCACTGGTTCATCAAATGAGCTAGACTTGGTGCAGGGTAAGCAAAAATAAAAAATAAAAAACTGATGCTTCCTTGTCATCACCTCAACTCACCCACATATATATTTCTTCAATTCATAGCTTTCCTAACCAGGCTTAGGTCTTAATAAGCAGTCTAAGTTTTTTAGGGTTAAAAAAAAGTCTAGATTAATCTGATATGAAAGCTCTCAGGTCTCCCATTTAAAGTTTCTTGCCCTCTGTCCAGCATCGACCTGCATTGGTCTTGGAAACCCGCAGTGGGGAGATAGCAGAGCTAGCTGCTGCTTCAGGATTTGTCTCTCACCCTAAACTCATCTCCCATCCCCTAGACTGGCCTGGTCTCCATGGGGAGGTAGAGGAAGAATGGGGAGACAAAGTGTAGGAAGGAGAGACAGTACCCAAACGCTAGCTCTGATTATTGTGAGTTCTGTGAAAACGTTCCTCTGGGGAACCACCTTGGGGTCCCCTGCTCACTGCACAGTTCATGGGTGCAGAGGTGCAGGTGATACCCCCTGCATGGCTCATGGGTGCAAGTGACACCCACTGCATGGCTCATGGGTGCTGAGGTGCAGGTGATGCCTTCTGCATGGTTCCCAGGTGCAATGGTGCAAGTGATGCCCCTGCATGGCTCACGGGTGCAAAGGTGCAGGTTCTGCCCTCTGCATGGCTCATGGGTGCAATGGTGCAGGTGATGCCCTCTGCATGGCTCAGCGGTGCAAAGATGCAGGTGATGCCCACTGCATGACTTATGAGTGCAGGGGTGCAGGTGACATCCACTGCATGGCCCACAGGTGCAATGGTGCAGGTGATGCCTCCTGCATGGTTCATGGGTGCAATCATGCAGGTGATGCCCCATGGGCCTGCCATTTTGATTGCTCCTCCCAGCTTCTGCTTTTGGAGATCCACCCTTCACAGTCTCTTCATTTGTGGTCACTTCTGGCTGCAGGTGGACCTGTTGGGAGAGACCCTTTCAAGACAGCTCAAGCCTCATAACCTTCTGCAGCATCCACTCTGGTTCATGGGGAGCACGCGCTCACTCCTCTGAACTCTGGGAAAGCAGGCTGCTCACACTTTGTTCTCTCACCCTACACCCAAGGGGGCCTTAGGTCAGACTTTCGTTTTCAGAATGCTACAGACAGGCTGAGATCAGGCACCCCTCTCTCTCTGGGTCCTCCAGATTCCAAGGGCCACATCACGTTCTGCAAGTACTTCCCTAAAAGCCCCCTCACCTGACTTAGGAGCCCCTCTCCTTTTCCTAACAGGGATGAGGGAACACCCAGCCCTCCAGACCATCAGGAATCTGCCTTGCACCTGCTCCCTGATCACTCTCACCCCAGGTGCAGAACCTGCAGGCAGCCCTGGGCTTGAGGACACACACTTGTTTTAGGGAACCCATCGGCAGTCCTCTGGCGCCTTTTGTTGAGTGCGGATGCATTTGTTACCTCTGAATCTCCTCTTTGGGGCATCTGTGGAGGACTCACCGACGACACCTTCAGAGCACTCTCATTCCTTCAGTCCTCCCTGTGGCCATTCTATATCCTTTTTAAACCTTACCACCTGGCATTCATGCATTCTCCTTCAGCTCAGAAGCTCCCCCACGGAATAACTGATTCGCCCCAGTCCTAAGGCTTTCTCAAGAAGCTACAAATTCTGCCAGTCAGTGTCACTAGTGTCTGTCCATCTGGGCATGGTGACCCTCACCTGTAATCCCAGCTACTCAGGAGGCTGGGGCAGAAGGATTGTTTGATCCTAAGAGTTCGAAACCAGCCTGAGCAACATGGCGAGACTGCCTGCCCTGGCTTCTGATGACTTCTCTGGAGAGAAGGCTGAGATGGGGTCAGAGGGAGGAATGAGGACGAGGTGCCTGTGGGTACCTCCATGTCAGGGAGGTCCGTCTCCACCTGCAATGCATGGCTGTGGGTGCTTTTCAAATGCATACAAGAAGACTTGGGGGCCACGCTGGGTGCTTCTCTGGCTGAACCCCCAGTCTAGTCTGCATGAGGGAAGGCATATTTCTCCTGATAACAATACTTTGACTGGAATCTCTGCCAAACAATGACCTGGAGCTATGATGCTACGTCTAGTCAGATTCCCCCTTCTGTATGAATGGTATCATGTTCCAGTCATTCCTTCTGGAGTCGCAACAGAGGAACATTCCTTTTGTTGTCCTGTTGGAGACAAGTGGGATGTCACCTGGGGAGGAGGGAGAGGGGAGAGGGCAGGAGTTTGAGGCAGAGGATGGAGCAGGAGCCCATTTTGGGAACCGCATGTGGTAATGCTTGGCTGGCTGTAGCATGCATCCAGGAGAAGGGGCAATGGAGAAAGGCAAGGCTGGGGGCATCCGGGAGAAGGGTCAATGGAGAAAGGCAAGGCTGGGGGCATCTGGGAGAAGGGGCAATGGAGAAAGGCGAGGCTGGACGAACAAGCAAGAAACCAATTA